TTTCTAATAACCGGGATACTGCCATAACCGGGATACTGAAACCGGGTTACTGCATATACATGCACCATCAAGAAACCGGGATACTCATAAAACCCGATCATAACCGGGTTATTGATGTGCATGTAAACACACTCACTGAGTTTTCATAAAGTATGTTGTTTACATTAAAAATGGAAAAAAGAACAATGTAAAAATGAAAGCAACATGTCAAAGTCTTGAACCCAGTTCACCCACATTAGAGACCAAAGACTTAACACAGTGAACTAAACTGACTCTTCTGGCCGTGTGTCTTGTACCAAATGCGGTGGCGAACACGCCTTGTGAACAGAGCGTGTAAAAGCCATGAGGGGCTCGGGTGGAGGGGTGTGTAAGACCCACCTTTGCAAATATTACTAGTGGTATATGAGCCAGTGGACCACAGACTCACTGTATAAAATTAATGGATTATTTGTCACATATGCCAGGCCTGTCCCCCGACACTCAGTTCTTGTTCAGTCCTGGTTCAGTCCTGGGATCAGTCCTGGTTTAGTCCCCAGTGGCTCTTTGCCACACCTATTGAAACACCTATTGCCTCACCTATTGAAAATCATATGAAAAGTCATCACTATAGCAACCCCCTACCATAGACATGAAACGTCAACATTACTGGATCTGTATCAAATCAGAGAATTAAATTCTACGCATGGGACATTTTTGGTGGTTAGGGTTACGACCAGGCTTAAGGTTTAAGCTTAGGGTTACGTTTAGGGTTAGGCCTAGTGTTAAGGTTGAGACTAGAGGTTAGAATAGAATACAGCTTTTCAAAAGATGCAAAAACATTCCATCCCATTCGATTCCATGGCAATGTAAATAGAACGTTCTTTGACATCAAAAGTTGCCATGGCAACGTGAAAAAGTTCTCTACATTAACCTGTAGGGTCAGTACAGTCTCAGACCTCGACGACTGCAGTTGGGCTCTCAGCTCTTGGCAGATACTTTTGCTAATCAGTCTCTCTTTTTAAGTTAGTGTAGTTGTCTATTACAGTTTGTAGCAGTTAGTTCTAGCTACTAGATCTGACTACATCTAGCTACGTTTTTAAGTCTTTGTTAGTACGTTTTTAAGTAATGTACTGACTGTCAACAAAAGATGAAGTCCTTGTCACCAAAACCAGCTCCTGGCTCTTCGTCCAACATCACCCACCGAGCGATAAACAAAATACCTCGGACAGTTTGAGCTCCAGATAAAGCTGACGCGCATTCAGGTCTCAGATCTGACTGGGCAAAGCAAACAGGACTCTTCCCCCCTGGCCAGTACATCCAGATACTGCCCCCCTCAGCCGGTAGGGGGGGCAGGGGCAGGTGGAGGGGTGATGAGTCAGAAGAGGAACTGCCAATCCTGGGAAATGTACGAACCAGGACGGAAGAAATCCAAAAGCGAGTCAGATTGTGACAGCACGGGATCAAGCACCGGCAGAAGGACAACGAAAGACCATCATCTCTCTTCTCTTACAGTGTGTTCGAGCAGGTCCAGATTCAGCTCCAGTGACAGACCCATTCCCCAGAAGGACGAACTGCGTGAAGCATCTGAAGGGGGCGCTAAGAAATGCAGGAGTGACACCGCTGGACCCAGCACCAGTGAGACGATCTCCGGGTCCTCGGAAAGTTCAGATGAGGAATTCTACAAACTCCACTTGTTACCCTGTAAGATCTGCTCTAATCTGCTCATTTTAAAGCTGCGCTGTGTAACTTTTCTTGTGGCGGTTTTGCCAGTGATTTGCTTGTCTTCATGGATAGTTGTTTCATCTTCTTGTTAAAAGTGACATTTTGAGTATAGAATATTTAACTATGGCCCTCTAATAGATTTTTACCTGTGTATTTGTGCAAAATTTGTCTTGGCCCAGCACAGACATCTGTTTTATTGTGCGTGTTAGCATGCTAAGTGTTTTGAGTTTTACTGTGAATCAGCTTTACTGATTAATGCTTTAACTCTCGTTTTGCAATAACATCTCCATAGAGACAAGCAGCTGGCGGGCAAACCCTCGACCAGAAAAAGTGACGTAGTGCAGCTTTCTGTGAACATTCACTGAGTACTAATATTTCACTGTCTCTCACAGCCTTCCGAGAAAAGTACAAGGTCAAAAGATGGCTAAAGGCAGGGGGCTTTGGTAGAGTCTACATTGGCAACCGGAGAGAGGACGACCTTCCAGTAAGTAACTGTGATTTGTATATGCTTTTTTCACCAAATAATTCAAATATTTAGTTTGTGTAGAATCCCTCAGTCATGCAGGTAGAATCCATGGCAGAGGACAAACGTTTATTTTGGTCGAAAACAGTTCTCTTCATTTCTGGTCAGACGCTGGTGGACACTTCCTTATATCTGCCTGCAGGGAGGAGCTAACTACAATGAAACTACTCTGAAACTAGCACACCTACTTGTTTACAGTTTCTGTTAGTTAGCTCGGCCCATTGAACTGCACTGAGTGTGGGGTCATATTAGCAAAATCATTCAGGCCCATTTAACAAAACAGATTCTTTAACTCCCCTCCCAAACCAAGTCTTTTCTCTGAATGACCCCAACTAAATATAATATCTTCTAAATACAACAAAACTTGACTAATAAACATAACTAAATATAAGATACTAATTCTTCCATGCTTCTTACAGGTCGCCATCAAATGCGTTCCCTTACACTCCATCTTTTGGCTGGTATGTCATTCTTCACATCTTCAGTAACAGTGGTGTATTTGCACGTCTTGATCCATATTCCCTTTTGTTTGTCCTAAAGGACGTGTCGTACCATGATGTTCGAGTCCCTCATGAGGTGGACATGCTGGCACAGGTGGGGGCGTGGCCTAATGTGAAAGAGAACCATGTGACGCCCGTCCTCCTCGACTGGTTCAAGGTGAACAAGTACATCCTGCTGGTGCTGGAGAGGCCAGAGCCATGCATGGACCTCTTTGAACACCTCAAGACTTCAGTCCTGTCCGAGCAGGAAGCCAAGGTACGTGTAAAACTGACCATCTGTGTAACAGTTTTTCTTACTACTTTAATATAGAACTCTTAAAGGTGCTATATTACACAAAATTGACTCTTGTGAGCTTTAAGCTATGTTATAATGTCCTCAAACACACTTGGAGTTGTGTTTTGTTTCATTCACACATCAAAATGCTGTGTTCCACCTTGTGATGTCATGAATTAGTAGTTTTCAAGTTAACTTTTGTTGAATCCATATTGTATACAATGCTGATACTGATTGCTTTTCTTTCCCACAGTCTATGTTCCGGCAGCTGGTAGATGTGACCATAGACATGATGTCGTGTGGAGTCTTTCACAGAGACATCAAACCTGGCAACATCTTCCTGGACTGGGACGAGAAGAACGAGCTCAAGCCCAGAGTGCGCCTCATAGACTTTGGCAGTGCTGTCCGCTTGGATCCAGAGAGGCATTACAAAACATCTCAAGGTTAGTACGGTGTCTGCTGTACATGTGTTTGGGGCTTACTGTGTTTAAAGTGCATGTTTAAAGGTCCTATATTACACTTGACTCTTGTGAGCTTTGAGTCATGTTATAATGTTGTTAAATCATCAGAAACATACCAGAGTTGTATTTTGTTTCATTCACACATGTTTGAGTAATACTTTATTATTTGTCGGTCTACATCTCCAAAGCTCAAAAAGCTCTGTTCCACCTTATGATGTCATGTAGAATTTTCAAGTTAATCTTTACCTTTAGTTCAGTAGAGACTCTAGCCATTCCAGGGCTGAAATCATCCAAATGAAGTTTAAAAACACAGAGCAGCACTTTCTGTATTACTTTTAACACACAGTATGCATGTTCAGGCTGTTCCACCTTATGATGTCATGTGGTAGTAAAGGAACTACTCCACTGTTTTTAATCTCTATACACCTTCACTGGAGTCATTTGGATAATTTCAGGTCTGGAATTGTCAGTCTTTACCAAACTAAATGTGAAAGACAGCTGTTAAGTTGACAATACACGTTATTGTAATTTTGGTTTTGGAAAGCTTTGTGCTGGTGAAATGTGTAATGTAACATGTAGTATTTGCCTGTTGTGTTGCAGGGACTCTCTTGTACATGGCTCCGGAGTCGTTAAGGATGAAGAGGTGTAAGGCGTACTCCTTCACAGTGTGGCAGCTGGGTCTGATCTTGTACAGGATGCTGCACAATAAGAAGCCATTTGAGAAGATGGACCAGATCATGTCTGACTACATGCCCCACATACGGAAGGGAATCACAGACGGTACGTGTCAGACTTTGTGTTACACAGGTTATGCGCACGACATCACAACACTCGGACTGTTTAGAATAACTGGAAACATTGTATGAGTGTGAATGGCAAGTAATGATATTTTCAGCTGTAAAAGTTAAAAACACATCTTTAAGTTCCTATACTACACTAAACTGACTCTTTTGAGCTATGAGCCATGTTATAATTTTGTTACTTCCTCAAAAACATGCTGAAGTTGTGTTTTGTTTCATTCACACATGTTTGAGTGACCCTTTATTATTATTCTGTCTACATCTCCAAAGCTCAGAATGCTATGTTCCACCTTGTGATGTCATGGAGGAGTAGTTCCAGTTAAAGGCTACCTTTTACCTTTAGTTCACTAGAGATCGGCAACTCCAAGGCAAAATTATGTAAATGATTCTAGTGAAGGTGTATGAAGTTTGAAAACACAGTAGAGTACTTCCTGTATTAGCATATGACATCACAAGGTGGTGTTTTCTAAGAGGAGAACTAAATATGCAGGGTTTCAGTGTTCAACATGTATGAATGAAACAAAACACAACTGAGTTAAAATATGGTTCCATGGAGAAAAAAATGGCCAAAAAAGCAAAGATAGAGACACATTTTGTCTGATACACTGCTCATAGTTCTGTCACAATGTTGAGGGACATTTTCAGTGCTTAACCTCAATTAGAAACCCACACAGTGTAATAACAGTTCTAATTCTGAACTTGGTTCTGTTTTTAGAATGCAAAGATTTATTACTCAGCCTGATGGACAAAGACCCTAACAGTCGGATCTCCATGGACGACATCAAGCAGCACCCCTGGTTGAGCGAGGACCTGAGTGGGAATGCGATTGAGGTGTCGAGTGAGGAGCACACTGGTGTTCCTGTGTCGATGGAGGTGTCGAGTGAGGAACTGAGGGGGAGAACGAGGGAGGGGCTGAGGGGGAGAGCGAGGGAGGGGGAGGGGCCAGGGAGGGAGAGGGAGGAGAGGGAGGGAGGGGAGAGGGCGAGGGGAGGAGGCGAGGAAGGGCCGAGGGGAGAGCGAGGGGGAGAGGGAGGAGGGGCCGAGGGGGAGGGGCCGAGGGGAGAAGGGGGAGAGCGAGGGAGGGAGGCGAGGGAGGAGGGGGAGAGCGAGGGGAGGAGGGAGGGAGGGGCCGAGGGGGAGAGCGAGGGGGAGGAGAGGAGGCGAGGGGGCGAGGGGGGGAGGAGAGGGAGGAGGGGCCGAGGAGAGGGAGGAGAGGGGGAGAGCGAGGGAGGGCCGAGGGGGAGAGCGAGGAGGGAGGAGGGGCCGAGGGGGAGAGCGAGGGAGGGGCCGAGGGAGGAGCCAAGGGGGAGAGCGAGGGAGGGGCCGAGGGAGGAGCCAAGGGGGAGAGCGAGGGAGGGGCCGAGGGAGGAGCCAAGGGGGAGAGCGAGGGAGGGGCCGAGGGAGGAGGCAAGGGGGAGAGCGAGGGAGGGGCCGAGGGGGAGAGCGAGGGAGGGGCTGAGGGGGAGATGAGGTGTTTGTGGGCGTGGTCACAGTCTCACACACGCACACACACAGACACAGGTTGGTCCTAATCACAATCACCTGGACTGGGTTGTGTGATAACAATGTTCTGCTTTGTTATCAGTGGTGCATTTAAACTGGTAGGAAAGCAGAGTTGTTGAACTCAGACCTCAGCAGGTGAGTCCCCTGTGGAACCTGTGCTCATGTCCTGTGTGGTCAGTGGGATGTGTTTGCAGTGACTAACCGGAGGTAGGGCTCAGGGGTCCGAATGGGGGCCTGGCTGTGTACCTAACCTGCAAACACAGTTTGTATTGGCTTTTATTACCACTCTATTAAGCATGTTTTCCAGATGTAGGCATTTGGAAAATAAACTACAAATGTGACCACAAACAGTTATGTCCCCTTAAGAGTACTTCACCACTCACCTCACGTCAGATTCATATGTGTGTCACTCTGAAGGGAGTTCTACACACAGCTTTCCCCTCTGCATCTTTTTCACTAACAAAATAAAACAGATTTGAAATAGGCTGAGGTACATCTATAGGCGTCAACATGTTTGTTTTGAGTCGTTTAGGAGCTTCACCTTCTTCAGCAGAAACTTCAATGCAAACGTACCACCACCTGTCTGGCCCTGTCTCACCAGCGGGGGCAAGTCAGGATGGATTCTGGTTTGAGTCCTCACAAATATCTCAGGAATCCAAACTTCATATGCATTAATAATGTAGCACCAGAGCCTACAGGGATGTTTATCCAGAGATAAACCATCAGCAGAGTCATCATTGTGTTTAGAACATAAATTTTGTTCTTGTTATATACAAACTTTGTGTTTTCTTCTAATAAAAGAAATTTATTAAAAAAAGCTAAGTAGCTTATTTACCTTGTATCATAGGCTGTATATATGAGTGGACAGAGCTAATGTGCTAGCCACCGCATGCCAAATAGGACATTTGCCAGGAGGCTATTCCACCTCCTTCTGACCCTGGTTACAATTGACTTACAATAGGATCTTGTGGCTCCTCTCTGTAACTGCTGCAGTGAGCCTCGCCATTTTGGTCTTAAAAATGTTCATATGAACTCTGCATGGGAATGTCGGCACAGTCTCCTTGTACAAGTATGGCTTTCTAATATTGGAATAAGTAAATTATCTGGACTTTGTTTTTGTTTCAAGTGTATTTATTATCTAAGCAAACACGAGAGGAAAAGTTTGTTTTCCTCAACAGTAGAGCTGTTTAATGTCATACCATAGAACATTTCAAGCAGAGTAATAACATATCCATAAAAAAACAAGCAGAAATGTTACACTATGCACTTTTAAGCCATGTGCAAATCTGTGATCACGTTAAACTCCCCACTGTGGCAAATTTGTTGAAATAAAATGTTTTAAAATGACATGGAGTTTACGTCGTTCCTTCAAAGCACTACCTCCCTCACAGGTTAAAACAAGGCATTTGCCTCAGACTAATGGAAGATAAAAATGGCTCAAGGGTTCAACATCTCTATCTCTTAGGTTTAATTCGTCAGTCTAATACGTTTAGATATGGGGCAAAGCAAAGCAGAAACAATACAAACCCCTGCCTCATGCTTGAAAGACTATTTTATGATTGAAGGTCCTGTATTATGCCAAAATGATTTTTTGAGCTTTTAACTAGGTTGGACTTTTGCTCACTTAGCACATGTTTCACTAATCCTTCAAATTTTGTCAATTTGGTCATTTGAGGTCACACGGGTCAATTCAAAGGTCACGTCATTTTAAAGGATTGGCAATTTTCACAATTTCTGAACCATCTGTGGCCTAATACCTGTCACAGGCATGTTCTGTTTCAATAGAATCCAACTTATTTTTGACATGAGTGTAGGTGCATGTCCCATTCAAAATACTCAGAGTCCATGCATTTGTTGTTGTATTTGTGCATTTATCCAGCACAGAGCTTGTGCTCCCATACCTGGTGTAACTCAATGAACATGTGATGACATCATACGTCTTATAAAGGAGCATGAAGTTTTGCCTGTTTTTAATACCAAATAATGAATTTCACTCTGAATCACTGTAATACATCTATTTTTAATCCTTTTATCTGATCTTATAACATTGATGCTTTTATTCATAATTTCATAGTACAAAATATTTTTAGACAGATTCATTTACAGTAAACAGGAATAGAACTCTCACAAATAGTGTAAAATATTCCATCATAATCCTGCTGCTGTGTCTTTAGGTTGTCTGGATGTCTGGTCTCAGAGAGGGGCGGGGCTGCTCTGGCCTCAGCTCTGAGCTCCGCCCCCTCCCACCTCAGAGAGTTAGACCTGAGCTACAACCATCCAGGACCCTCAGCACAGCTCCTGACCACTCTACAGGACCAGCGCCTCCTGCTGTCTGTCAGGTGAGACCACACTGCCCCTGCTGTCTGTCAGGTGAGACCACACTGCCCCTACTGTCTGTCAGGTGAGACCACACTGCCCCTGTCTGTCTGTCAGGTGAGACCACACTGCCCCTGTCAGTCTGTCAGGTGAGACCACACTGCCCCTGCTGTCTGTCAGGTGAGACCACACTGCCCCTGCTGTGTTTCAGGTGAGACCACACTCCCCCTGCTGTCTGTCAGGTGAGACCACACTCCCCCTGCTGTGTGTCAGGTGAGACCACACTCCCCCTGTCGTCTGTCAGGTGAGACCACACTCAACCTGCTGTCTGTCAGGTGAGACCACACTGCCCCTGTCGTCTGTCAGGTGAGACCACACTGCCCCTGTCGTCTGTCAGGTGAGACCACACTGGTCTGGTTTACTGGACTTGAGTGTGACACAGGTTTGTGTGTTTCAGGTTGGATCCTGCGGGAGAACAGTGGATGATTCCAGGACTAAAGAAGTGTAAGTCATATATTTATTTAGAATTTAACAGAAACTTGTATGCCAATGTTGATTTATTTTTATTTTTTTTCAGATTCCTGTGTGTTCTCTCTGGACCCAAACACAGCTCACAGAGAACTTGCTCTGTCTGAGGACAATTGCACAGTGACCCGTCTGAAAGAGGAGCAGCTCTGTCCACATCATGAGGACAGATTTAAAGACCAGCCACAGGTCCTGAGCTCCACTGGCCTGAGGGGGCGCTGTTACTGGGAGGTGGAGTGGAGTGGATCAGTGGACATAGCAGTGACTAACAGAACAGGAGAGAGTACAGAGTGTAGGTTTGGAGACAGTGATCAGTCCTGGAGTTTGAGGGTTCTTGGCGGAACTTTGCAAGTTTGTCAGAATGGGAGAAAAACATCACTGTCGCCACAGTGGTTCTTGCCTTTTGTCCCAGTACAAGGTCAAGTGATAGATTTTAAAGTTCTTTTATTGGTTTATAAAGCTCTTAATGGTCTTAGTCCTATTTATTTATCTGATCTGCTTTTATCATATGAGCCTCTCGGACTCTCAGGTCCTCAGGTAGTCTCCTTTTAGCTGTCCCAAGAGTTCAAACTAAAACTCACAGTGAGGCATCTTTTAGCTTTTACGGCCCCCGTCTGTGGAACAGTCGACCTGAGGATCTGAGGTCCGCTGCGAGTGTTCATATTTTTAAAAGTAAACTTAAAACATATCTTTTTAATTTAGCTTTTAACTGAAACTTTTACCTGTTTAACTTAAATTATCATTATTATTGTTATTATTATGGTAGTTTTAAATTAAATTATCATTACTATTTTATTTAGTCTCCATCTGGTCTTAGCTATACACTTTTAATTTTTACTATAACTTTTAAGAGCTTTATGTTTATTAGTTTTTTAGTTTTTATGTTTCTGTTTAAATTGTGGTATGGGGGGGGGGGGGTGTTAATTAATGTATTAAAAATGTTTCTGTTGCATGTGAAGCACTTTGTGCTACATTTCAAATGTATGAAAAGTGCTATACAAATAAAGTTTGATTGATTGATTGATTGAAGTGGGTGTGTTCCTGGACTCTGAGGCTGGAGCTCTGTCCTTTTATCGGGTCTTATCTGATGGCAAACTGTCTCATCTTCACACATTTAACTCGTCCTTCACTGAACCTTTGTTTGCTGGGATTGGACTGAGGTCTTCACATTCCTCAGTTACTCTGGTGAGACTGTAGTGCCTCCTGGAGGACACAGGCAATTACGACTTCTCATATGTTCTTTATTTTATGAAGACCAGTCATTTTATATTAACGACCATGAAGAACCAGGATGTGCTGGGGTTTGTGAGAGCACGGCTGTGTCCCAATGTCCACACTATTCCCTACTTAGAGCACTATGTAGTGGTCACGCCATTTTTAGTGTTATTGAATGTCCAGTTACCAATCAGGGACAACTACCAGTGACGTAGCGACGTTATTATCCAAAAGAAAAATAAGACAGAGAAAGACCAGGGAGTCACAAACACCAGAACAAGAAAGTATAAATCACCTCCATTGATTCGGGTGTGTTTTATGTAATAAATACACTAAAGTCACTCTCTCAGCCTGGTCTGCCATCGTTCCAGGACAAGACTGGGAAATGGCACTTGTTTCCAGGGCAACAGACGCCCTGGATGCGCATCAAATATTTTTCTCCCGTGCACGGCATCCAAGACACTCTTCACGGGCATCTAAACTCAAATGCAAAGACGTCCACCTAGAGGCGTCCAGCTCATTTTTTGACGTCCCAGTCTGAACACAGCTTGAATTAGACTCTTGATAGTGCCTTTCTACTGAATGAAGAGCTTAGGTGATAGGGGGAATATAGACACAGCCCTAAGTAACAAGTTTGGCTGTTACAAGAGTTCCAGTTCACTTGCTCAACTTTTGTGGCATAACATGAGTTGGTTTGGAGTGTATCCCCAGACATAGACGGTCACGCTTCCTGTTGCTAGAAGCTTCTAAGCTGCACAGAGCCAGCTGCATGAGGAACTTGGTGTTACTGTCACAGGTGGAGGTTTATTTTAAATTTACTGAATAGACTTGTATATAGATGGACAGAGCTAACGCACTAGTCACCACATTCCAAACAGGAAGTCCTTCTGACTCTGGCTCCCATTGACTTACATTGGAATATATACATTTAAAATACTATTCTAAAAATTTTGTAAAAACAGATTCAAACTGCTGTATTTTTCAGATTATAAGTCGCTCCGGAGTATAAATCGCACCAGCCAAAAAAAGCATAATGAAGAAGAAAAAACATACAGAATGTACGTACACAATAACAACACCAACAGAACAGAGATCAACAGACTGTTAACATCACATATGAACAGTTCTTCAGATAAACTATAACATAAACAACAGAACAGAACAAGTTTAACAAACTCTCCATCTCACTCCAAATCACTAAATCCACCTCCAGAGGTAAACAGAGCATCACTTCCTCTTCTGTGTCGCTGTTGTCAGACTCAGCATCAGTTCCAGTTAGAATTAATTCGGGTCTTTCTGAATCTCGACAGGATGGTTTCAGTGTCACTGAAGTCCAGACTTTGTCCGTCCATCCAGTGACTGCAGGAAAGTTTCATGGTGCATCCTCCCGGTGTCACAAGTTTCTCTCTCACTCCAAACTTTCTTTCTGCTGCTCGATTATCGTTTTCAGCTGCAGATTTCATGACTTGCAGTTTGTAATCTGCAGAATATGATTTTCTTTTTGGGGGCATTTGTGTTCAGTCTTCTCAGTGTCTTTATAAGTTTTTTTAATTTTTTTTTTATTTTCAGTGGTACAGAAGTAATGGTGCGCTCGACTGACATGAGACCAGACAGGTACTGGAGTAGCAGATACTGACACACAAGCCTAGAGCGCCCTCTTGAGGCTTCAGTGTGAACATTTTAATATGGAAGTCACACTGGAGTATAAGTCACAGGGAAACACCCAAACCATGAAAAAAAGTGTGACTTATAGTCCGAAAAATACAGTACAAACACACGTCTTGATCCAACACTGAGGTTTTTGTTCTTCATACAAAACAACTGTACATCAACTCACGTAATAATGGAATAATAGTTCTTGAGCAGTGAGTCACTGTTTTATATTTGCATTGTTTCTTCTTACCTAATCTCTTGTATTATATTTAAGAGGTATATTTCTGTATTTTTATTTTTACTTTACATATACATTTGTCTTATCTCTTGCTATTCATGATGTAGTTATTACTGTTTAGATTGTTTCTCTTTGTTATTATTTGTGTGAGTTACAAGTCATTTCCCTTGTGGATCAATAAAGTTTGTCAAAGTCTAAGTCCACCAACCAACACAGAACCAACACAACCAACACAACCAACACAACCAACACAACCAACACAGAACCAACACAACCAACACAGATCACACCAATCTATGTCCCAGTGTTAGTTTTTCCTGTGAACTCCACTACTGAGTTGTCTTTGTTTTGTTTTAATCCTCAGTCGTCCAGGTGTGATCCAGAGCTAAAGATAAATTCAGATCTGTTCTTCAGGTCTGAACTGAAGCTGCTTGGATGAGCAGCAAACTTCACTCTAAAACATTTGTCCAGCTGACAGATTTGATTTTTTAATTATTATTTTTTATTTGTATTTATTTATTTATTTGCTGCCAACACTCAGATCACAGCATTTCCTCCTCCTCCTCGTCTAAAACATGCTATTTCTTATGTAAGGTTTCTACAATTTACTCCTTCATTTGCATAGATATACAGGAGGAATTCCTGAAACAGAATCAATACATTTTCAGATAATTTCATAAATATTTGAGATCTTATGTAATCCACATGAACCAAAGTCAGTACCAGAGCCGCCCACTAGAGGGAGTCACTGCACTGAGTTTATACAGACCATTTGTGTCAGTGCATCAGATTTGTGTTTTTGAACAGTTTCATGAGCAGGGCCGTTGTGAGTCATTTGAGTGTCCTAAAAACAAATGTTTTGTGGTGCCCCACTGCTTCACCCCACATCATCCCTCCTCAAATGAACAATAATTTAGAATTTATCAGTGCCTTTTGATTTATTTCCAAAACAAATACATCAAATATGAAAGTTAAAATAATAAATTCTTTAAAAATGTTAATAAATAAATACCACCACAATTATTATAAACAATGATTAGAGCAGCAGACTGAACACTGAACTGAACACTGTAAACACAGAACAAGTCTATGCTCTTGTAAGTCATAATGTGAACATTTCTTTGGTAAATAATGTAAATAAGGCTGCGTTCAGACTGCAGCCTGAAGTGACCCAAATCCGATTTTTTGGCTTCTATGTGACCTGTATCCGATCTTTTAATGACAGTCTGAACAGCACAGATCCAAATTTTTCAAATGCGACCCAGGCCACTTGGATATGTGCTCCTAAATCCGATACATATCTGATCTTTTGACATGCGACTTCAGTCTGAACGGCCAAAGCGCATCCATCCGACCTACACGTCATTAACAAGCGATAAACGTCACTATTCTGCGCTGAAGCAGGCGGAAACTGGAACTGTAAAATCGCCAGGTGCTCAATGCTCGCGACCATATTTGGACAACTTCCGTAAACACAGAGCACGCTCGCTGCGGTTGACGCATGGGGTTGACGTCATCGTGTCTCCAATGCGCATGCGGGACACTTTCGGGCCGTTTACCGTTCACACTGAAGTCACAGAGAAGTCGCATTTAATTGGAAATGTGAACGACCTCGCAAAAACATCGGATTTCACAAAAAAATTGGAATTGAGCATTAATCCCTGCAGTCTGAACGTAGCCCTAATTGTACAAATAATTGCACAGATTGCAGATTGCATAGAATTAGTTCAATCAAGGAACTTTAAATAAGAATTTGAAAGTGAAAATGTCTTCACAGAGACTCTGCTGCATGTGTAGAAGTCTGGACAGTGAGAGAGAGAGAGAGATAGAGGGAGAGAAAAAGTAAGAGAAGGAGAGAGAGACAGAGAGGGGGATTGTGTTTGCACTGGCACTGGCTTCTCTCCTCTCTCTGTGCACTTACATTAGTGTGATTTATTGGTGGTGCCCACAAAAGCACTTGGTGGCCTACGAGCTGTGTGTAACATGTGTGTGTGTGTGTGTGTGTGTGTGTGTGTGTGTGTAACATGTGTGTGTGTGTGTGTGTGTGTGTGTGTGTGTGTGTGTGTGTGTGTGTGTAACATGTGTGTGTGTGTGTAACATGTGTGTGTGTGTGTGTGTGTGTAACATGTGTGTGTGTGTGTGTGTAACATGTGTGTGTGTGTGTGTAACATGTGTGTAACGTGTGTGTGTGTAACATGTGTGTGTGTGTGTGTGTAACATGTGTGTGTGTAACGTGTGTGTGTATAACGTGTGTGTGTAACGTGTGTGTGTGTGTGTAACGTGTGTGTGTGTGTGTGTAACATGTGTGTGTGTGTGTGTGTAACATGTGTGTGTAACATGTGTGTGTAACATGTGTGTGTGTAACGTGTGTGTAACATGTGTGTGTGTGTGTGTGTAACATGTGTGTGTGTAACATGTGTGTGTGTAACATGTGTGTGTGTGTAACGTGTGTGTGTGTGTGTGTGTGTGTGTAACATGTATGTGTGTAACATGTGTGTAACATGTGTGTGTGTGTGTGTGTGTGTGTGTGTGTAACATGTGTGTGTAACGTGTGTGTGTGTAACATGTGTGTGTAACGTGTGTGTGTGT